TCGTCCAAGGGACCTGCCAGTAGCAGTGGCGAGTATCCAGCTTGGTAAAATACTGAGCGTTAACAAGATTGGAGATGACATCGCGAGGTGCGCGCATGGGATGCGCGGGCCGGGCGACTTGCTTGTAAAGCTTAGTGAAATCCACCGTCATCCGGACTTCGGTAGTGGTTTTCTTTACTGCTATGAAGATGGGGTGACACCGTGGGCTCTGAGAGCGGTGCGATGATGCCATCTGCGACCATCTGGTCCAGCTGGAGCTTAACCTGGTCATGATAGGCGTAAGGTAACCAACAGGCATTGTTCAACTTGAACGGCTGGGCATCAGGCGCGAGTTGGATGTGCATCGGCTGACCGTCCATGGTGTTACGGAATCTCAGCCATTCCGTTCCCCGGGACGCAGGACACAAAGGACAAGACTTGTTTGTTACATTATGAAATTCACAAGACGGAAAAGCCAACTGCTCTGACAGAGACGAACAAGAAGACTGACAAAAGGACTCTCGACTACAAAATCGCGCATGCTCATATCACACATGCACGCGACTAGACGAGACAGTTTGGGGAATGCCATCACACAGGAAAACAACACATCATTTCACAACAATGGGTCGGAGCATGTCCTCTGCAAACACGTCAGCGAACTCGTCGAGGAGGTCCTGGCGGATACACACAGGTGTAGGGCTTCTGTGCTCTGCAGAACGGGATGTCCCTTTTGTCACTGAAGCGATCTGTGGCCAGTTAGGCGGCAAGAAACCTAACGCCTTTAGCGATGAGCACGATAGCAATGCGCTACTGAGTTCGTCGTACACATGTAGACAAGTGGTGTGCGTGACATCACGAGTGACAACCGTGGCGGGAACAGTTCCCAAGCTGGTCAATGGCTGACCGTTCACGGCAACAACATGGCTGGCGTCAGGTTCCGGATCAACGACACTACCACCAAGTCTATGGAGATGACTAGCACCAATAGCATCAACATCCGAGCCAGAATCTGGCAACCACTCTAACGTGCACGACCGGTCGTTGTCATCAAGATGTGTTGACAGCATCACTTTGTCACCAGCCTGCACTGCGTGAATGGTGAACCATGTGATGGTCTTGCGGCACATTGTCGTAAAGTGGTCCATGCCCTTGCATTTACGGCACTCTTTGCCCTTGGCAGGACACATTGACTTGGTGTGCTGAGATCGTCCGCACTGCGGGCACTTCGCCGGCTTGTCAGCTGGAGCAGATTTCGGCTTACTCGCCAAAGCGGATTTGCTGCGTTGGCACGAGAACCTTTTCAATTACGGATGCAGGTACCATGCTGTCTCTGGTCTGCTGTGCGGCTTCCTCAGGCCTGCAAATCTTTGCCGCGGTTTCCAGGGTGAGGGACGGAGCTGCCAGGAGCTTGTGGCATGTGTCATCGTTGGCTATTCCAACTAAGATGCGGTCCCTCATCATGTCGTCCGTCACCTTGCAGAGGCTCTGGGGGCAAGTACTACACAACTGAGGTGTACATGTGCTGCACAGCTCCATGTCAGGAAAATCGCACTGCGCAAACAGTTCTCTCATCGCTGTGAAGAATGAGTCAAACGACTCATTCCGCTGCTTCTTCCTGTTGTAAAAAGCAATCTGATCAAGAAGTGGGTTTTGCTGCCGTCGGATATACACTTTCACGGCTATGATGATCGTCGGAGCATCGGCATTGTGGGAGACGACAATCACATCTTCGAGCTAGAAACGCCAAATGCCCGCATCAAACGCCTGACGAAGAGCTGAAACCCGAGTCTCACGGCTTTGGCTGGTGAGCTGCTGAGACACAGCATAGTCGTTCCAAGCCTCCTCCCATGCCTTGAAATCGGCCATGGTTGCAGTGTTGAGCAACACTGGTCGCTCGACAGAAATTGGTTTCTGATTGTCAGATGTCGAGGTGCTGCGTGGTCCCTGGTTGTCGCGCGCTGCATTTTGAACCAGTATGGTGAGGCGAGTCTCGCATGCCTCGGCCGCTTTCATCTGCTGCTGCATCAAGGCGAGCAGGGATGCAATTTCTGCACTGATCGAGGAAATTCCAGGTTCCGCCATCAAGACAATTCTACAAATTCTACAACTACAAGAAACCTATGCTACACGATCGATCGTTTGAAATAAAAAGGCTACAGAATTCAGGGACAACTACAGGCTGTCAAATATTCCGTACTCAGGTTACTAGTAGTTAACTGCGCCATGTTAGGTTCGGTAGACAAAAGATAAGTAGTTTATTAGTTGGAATACACAAAGTAGAAAACCTGAGAAGATTCAATCTGTAAGCGACAGAGAAAACTCCCAAAGAAAAGCGTGAGTGCATACACAGTAGTGCTAAAGTTGTACTACATTACGTCATAACATAACACCAGTGTTGTACTATACTTGCACATCAGACCAAGTTCAGTGTGCTGAACAGTACATATTTTTTGGAATTCCTTATTCTCACGATTGCACCATCGCCAAAAAGAGATACGTTTATGAGAAGGTGAGATGCTGTGGGTGGGGCTGTGGGTTATGCAGTTGGAAAGTGATTTACATCACTTTGAATTTTACAAGTATGGGAGAGGGTGAGCACTGCAGGAGCAGATTGCGTTGATCAGCAGTGAGCAGATTACTTGTTTGAAAGCAGGTCGGGAGGAGACATCACGAATGCTAGCAGGAGGGCATTGTAGTATTCTAGGGACTTTTACAGTGGGGAGTCCTTACAGCGATCGGTTCTGGTGGGTGGGAGGTGCCATGTGTGTGTGTGTCGAAGGCTATACTGGGCCGTAACTTGAGCAGGGGTGTTGAGCATGTGTATGTGTTGTGGGGTATATTGGTATTCTATGGAGTGTGCAAGAAGGGTGAGCTTCACTTTGCGGCGAGAGAACATTGTCGGCCATTTGAGCCGATGGAGCAGTGTAGAATGATTCAGACCAGTGTAGAGGGGGAGACGGAGGCAAATTCTGGCCGCCTTGCGCTGGATTCGCTCAAGACGGTCAAGGGCTGTGATTGAGAGCGGGGTGACAGCAATGCATGCATAATCAATTATAGGCATGACATTATGTTTTGTAAATGAGAGAGAGAGTGTGATTTAGAGTGTAGAGTTGATCTGAGCCTAAAGAGAATATTAAAAGATTTTACGGCTTTCTTCAGAACAAAGTCAAGGTGGGCTGACCATTTTAGGTCATGGCGATAGATGATGCCGAGGTGGCGATGTTGCAGGACATTTCTAAGATGTGCATTGTTGCGCTCTATGTGTGGGAGGTAGCGAGGGGGGCGATTTCCGTTGTAGAAGGTGAAGACTACCGTTTTTACAGTGTTCATTAGCAGGTGCCAGCGCACCAACCATCCAGCGGCGGGGGACACGCTGCTCTGCAGTTGCAGTTCGCAGTGTGCAGCAGAGGCGCTGGAGCAGACGAGGGCTGTGTCGTCAGCAAACTGGCTGCACTTGGTGCTGGCGTTCTCGCAAGCGGCAGGCAGGTTAATGGTGTACACCAGAAACAGCACTGGTCCCAGGACTGAGCCCTGAGGCACTCCGGCCGGGATGGGGAGGAAGGCTGATGTTGTGCTTTCAACTCGCACTCGCTGCCTACGCCCAATCAAGTACGCTGAGAAGCATCGCAGTGCTGCTTCCTGGATACCGTAGTGCTTGAGTTTGGACATGAGGCCCTGATGCCATACTCGGTCAAAGACTTTGATCAGGTCAAAAAGCAAGCTTTAATTTGTGCTATGACCAAATCAGGCTACGGGCATCCAGAGGTCTTTGCAAAATCTCAGTGCTCTACTATAAAATTTGAGGGAATTGCATTGCGATGAGTATTTCGCTAGCAATTGACATGACCATTGCGCGTACGCTTGCTTTGCCCACTGTACATTTACGTTGATGCTTGTCATGTCTCCAGGAAATGTATTCCTTAAGGATAGAGCCTTTCAGAAAGCTCAAGATTGTGAAAATCGACCAACAAATAAGTAGTGGAGTCATTCAACTTATCGCGGGAGAAGTATGTGCAAGAATGCCGATTTCGCATTTTCTGACATCAGTTCTAGTCCTTACAGATTGGGAAGAGAAAAGGTGGCTACGATGGCCCTCCTCATGGCACAAAGCTCTGCGCTGTGCGTGCCACCAAATTTGACAAGTGGACTGCTGAGCGCGACAAGGACCTTTCAACATGGAGTATGAGAGATGCAAAGATGAACGCGCAGGAGTGAAGTGGTTAGGTGCAAGGTTTGTGTGCGGTTGGCAGAGAAAATTAATTTTGTTCGTTCAAAAGCTTCCCGGAGTCTTTTATCGTTGGGTCGAGAATTTTAAAACGGGTTGTCTTTCAAAGATTTCTGTGGAAAAATGGTATGTCCGGGAAGTGTCAGCACATTACGTCAGAATGACCCTGATTTCTTATCAAATGTCCTGGAACACCAAACGTGCCCATGCGCTTAGTTACAAGCCTGGGGAGGGGGGGCACAATTCAATAGAGGGCTATATATTTTTCCATGTGCTCTTAGAGACTGAGGTACTCTTTAACATAGAGCACTATTCAACATAGAGCACTATTCAACATAGGGCACTATTCAACATAGAGCACTATTCAACATAGAGCACTATTCAACATAGAGCACTATTCAACATAGAGCACTATTCAACATAGGGCACTATTCAACATAGAGCACTATTCAACATAGAGCACTATTCAACATAGAGCACTATTCAACATAGAGCACTATTCAACATGGACAACTATTCAACATAGAGCACTATTCAACATAGAGCACTATTCAACATAGAGCACTATTCAACATAGAGCACTATTCAACATAGGGCACTATTCAATATAGAGCACTATTCAACATAGAGCACTATTCAACATAGAGCACTATTCAACATAGAGCACTATTCAACATAGAGCACTATTCAACATAGAGCACTATTCAAGAGAGGGCTCTAATCGCGAAAGTACGGTAATCCTTCTTTTCTGCTCCTACACAAACAAGCATGCACCAGGGATATCCTGACTTACCGAAGTTTTCGCTTCCAATGGGTGTCCAGCATTAAGTAGATATTCTAGTACGGACACATGACCTCCTTCTGCTGCACAGTGGAGTGGTGTCCAACCATTCTAGAAGTAGCATCGTTAATGAATACAAACCATGGACACACAAACACACACACATACACATACATACAAACACACACACACACACACACACACACACACACACATACACATACATACATACACACACACACACACACACACACACACATACATACATACATACATGCGCTGATGAGTTCAAAAAGAACGAAACAGCATGCTGTCCGCAGATTGAGTATTTCGCTCCTGCTCTTGTAGCAGTTGAGCACTCTTGCGTGGGGTAGTGCCTTTGCTGTTTGCGTTATGCAGAGCTCACTGACTTGTCAGTTTGAGCACTCTGGCAAGGTACGTTCGGGCCTGATTGGAAATTTTTATTTCCATTGCTATCAGGTTCGGCCTCATTTTCTCTGTGCTGCGCTGATGAGTTCAAAAAGAACGAAACAGCATGCTGTCCGCAGATTGAGTACATACATACATACATACATACATACACATGCACATATACACGCTTGTGCGCGAATGTGCATGTGAACACATGCACATTCGCGTACACACACACACACACACACACACACACACATACAAACACACACACACATTAAGTTAATAAAGGCAACACCGGCACTGGCATATCGATGAAGAGTTCATTTGGAATTGATGCCTTCTACTTGGCATCTGTGATTGGTTTTCAATTAATTTGGTTATAGCCTTTGCGCAGTGTAAGCTCCATAGCTGGTTCAGGCAGGTCAGCAACCCTGTGGGGTTGGGGGGGGGGGGCAGGGGGGGGGGCAGGGGGGGGGCAGGGGGGGGGGGGCAGGGGGGGAGGAGGCGGGTTACTTAGACCCATTTGAAAAAAAAGAATTAACGAGAGAGCTTGGAAGCTCAGGACCCTACGTTTTGAGTTTTTCCCTAACTCATCATGCATGTTATTAGAACTAATGGAAATGTCTTTTTTCCATTGATTGGCTACATCATTGTATTGCAAAAATGTTCCAATCAGTTTCTATATGAGTTGCAGAATTTATTGGGTTGTATAGAACATGCATGATGAGCTAGGCAAGAAAGCATAACGTAGGGCCCTGAGCGAAAGAAATAAAATTTCTCTTTGCATTCGAGGGTAATACGACACCGCGTACCACCTTGATGACCTAGGCCAAAAAAGCATAGGGTTGTTATAAATTTTCCATTTCTCCTTTTTTTTTAAGACATAACCTAGGATTCGAACATGCACTATCGCCCTGCATGCATTCCCCGATACACTTCGCATACATACTCATTCTTCCAAGTTGCTTCAGGTCATGATCTTGCATTTGAAAGCACTATTTGAATATTGTGGCCGGCTGTCTTTGATGGTACGGTACGTTACAGGTACGAGATAGGGCCAGGCATCTTTAACGTTTGCAGTTCTTCGACAACAGCTCTCCCCTTCATCTCTGGTGCGGGTGTAGTCTAGTGAATCCGTACATGCGTTATAATAAATATACCAATCCCTTTGTCTGGGTTCGTGAAAAAAGCCAAGCATGCAAGTCAGCTCGGGTGAAGTGTATAGTTTTGTATCTAGTTGGTATGTGGCAGCTCGTGGGACAGAGAGACCTTTGCTCCCCGAGCTTGTGTATGTAAATAGTGTTTTACGTCGACCATGATGGCTACAATGCCCGACCATGCCAAAACGAACTGATCGGCTACATCATTGTATTGCAAAGTGTTTCCATCTGTTCGAATAACATGCATGATGAGCTAGGCCAAAAACATAGCGTAGGCCCTGAGCGAAATAAATAAACTTTCTCTTTGTATTCGAGGGTAATACGACGCCGTCTACCACCTTGATGACCTAGGCAAAAAAGGAAAGACACTTGCGTTCCAACTAAGCTTCTTTTTTTTCAAGACATACCTAGGACCTAGGATTCGCACCCGCACTATCGCCAGGAAATCGAGTTTGGCCCGACACGGGCGCGCTTCGATGAAAAACGCGGTGACCACGGCAGCGTGGAGCTCGAGTGTCATCACTATACGCCCGTGGCGATGGAGCGGACGTTGCGGAGTGGACCTGTAGATCAGCTAGCTGGTCCGAAATTTTGCTCAACAACAATAGTATGAGCGGGTCGGTGGAGCTCGAAGTCGGACTCGGAGCTACTTGGCCACGGAGGCACTGGATGTAGAAGTCGGATCCTCGAGTTGACCTGCGGAGTGTGCCTTAGGCATTGAGGCGGTCAGGGCAGAGCAGGCTGGTGTGGGAACCGGAAGGCTGCGGCGATTCTCGACCTCCTAGATCATTGTAACTTCGTACGCCCGTCAAACTGCGACATCGAGGACTGGAGGTAGGGATCTCAGCGCGTGAACTGTGCAGCCAATCTGCGCAGGTGAGGTTTTCGATCCCAAACGCGTCCAGTGCAGAAACCGTGGAAAAGAACATTTTTTCGAAATAAATCAAGTTGAAGAAGACAGTAGAAATGGCTGAATGTCGTCCAGGAAAACACGTTCTACGGCAATCTACAAGTATCTCCCAGACACTCTCTCAGAGGAACTATGGAGGGTCAAAGAGCACATGATTTCAATCTTGGACGCAGCATGAACACCTCCCATACTGAGCGCGATGTCTTCTCTCTGAGTGATAATGGCGGCAATCTTCAAGATGGTTGATGCACTGAAAATCGAAGTTTGGACAATGTAACCAGTGAAAACGTCTGAATTATTTGACTGAATCAACTCTGAAGTGGGTTCCTGCCGCATGGCAAATTATAAGGAAAATCGACCGGGGCGATATCGCCTTGGCCACCCTGTCCGTCGGCGGGAATCGCAAAGTACGATCGAATGACGATAAAGATTAGGATTCCGCTAGTATCCACTGCTTCCGCTAATGTCGAAAATTGACCGTCGCCATTTTCTGCTGTGTCCGCGAGCTGCACTCAAAACTCGATGACGCAATGTATGCGCAAACACCCGACGCACTGCACGCACTGAGATCCCTACTGCAGGGCTGGATATCCTGATGTGCAGGCGCAGATCACTATTGACCTGGCCGTCAATTAACTGGTTGAGCGTCAGGCGATCTAAGGGCGGATTCTGTTGTCCTGGAAAGGCACGTGCCGCAAGGCGCTGAAGAGCTGCAGCGAACTCGGCCTGGGACTCAGTAGATCGTTTCATGCGAGCTCGAAATTCGGCCTCTAGGAGGCGACTTTGCTATGGCGGTTCGAACCGTAGCCGTAATTCGGTGCACATTTCTACATACTGTAGTGTCGCGTATAAAAGCATGACCTGTATAGAAGCATGACTCGAATAGAAGCCGACCTTTCGAAGCCTGTTGTGACACAGAAGCACGATTTGAAAAGAAGGCGATATCTGCAAGATACGAGTACAAGTATGTGTGTGGCAGTATGCACGGCACAGTGTAGACTGATGATGTTGACGTAGAAGCATGTTTTGAATAGAAGCATAACTAAGTTACTTAAATAGAAGCATGGTTCGAACCCCGGCTTATACGGCCGTAAGCACCTTTTAGTTTGTTTGTTTGTATACTTTATTTGAATTCGCAAATCCAAACGAGCACAAATGATCAATTACAAGGCAGCGAATATGTTATTATCACCTGCTTTTATACGCGACATCACGGTACGTATACTGCGGGTGCGCCGCTAGAATGGTCCGATGCATTGTAAATGCACTTTCCTTGAAACAACAAGGCAAAAACTGCAGCCTTTCCGTGTCTTGGTAGTCATTTACCATGCACGCTGCGTCGAACCTGGCGATGAAGCAGTGCCAATCGTCTTGGCTGGAACCCCCGAATGTTGGCGGTACAACTACTGGCCGAGTGCATGTCGAGGAGCTGGAGCCTGGCCCGGAGCCAGAGCTTGTGCAGCGGGAGCGGCAGCAGCAGCTTGAGGATCCTGTGCCATTTTCAGTCTCGTGTATACTTGGTCCGCCCAGTTAAAATTGGCGCTTATCTTCACACTTGTCTCAGGAAAGAAATACTAATATTTGAAGCAAGCTACGATCACAAAGCACTATATACATGATTATTTACATGTCAGTAAGCAACTCAGTCGAAAATTCAAGCAAGTTACACTAGTGATGAAACGATCTCACCGGATACTCGTTAGCTCGCTCGCCAGAAACTCGGCTCGTTTGTGCGGCCAGCTCGTTTGCACTATCGAACACCGTACACTGCATTCCGTACACATGGCAGTACATGTCGACCGGGAGTCGTAAAATATTTTTATGACTCCCTGGTCGATCGAGAGTCCAGTCCCGCGCAAAGTGAAAATCACTCGCAGTTACAGTGACTGTATGCCTGCATGACACTTGAGTTGACAATAGTCGTTGCACTTGCAGCTTTGGTGGACTCTACTGATGTCTTGTTCCGCATCTGCTGACCTGTCGCAGGATATGCTTCGGTCACCTCTCCATTCGAGTGAAAGTAAATAATTACGCTCAGTCGTTTGGAAGTTTTCTCCCGCGATGCAGCGAAGACCAGGGCTACTTGAAATCTTTGCAAAACGGTCTATTCTTACAAAGGCTACTCGACGACGGCGCTGAAAAGACATCTCGACACCAAACAGCAGTCCGAAGTGAAGCAGCAGCAACCCCAAATGCCGGCGGTGATAATTTGAACCAGCTGAAAAAATCGAACTTAGAAAAAAATTGTTCAAAAAATCATATTTGCCACATCAATGAAACTCGTTAGCTCGCTTGATAGCTTGCTCGTTAGTGGAACTGATCGCTCGTTTGTTATAGATACGCTCGTTTCAACACTAAGTTACACATCCTCCTCGCCACTATCGTCGCTGGAGGAAGAGCTCAAAACGTACGATCCGGACAGCTGCTGCACAGGTCGTTTCATAGCTTGTTCCACTTCTCCTCGTCTGGAATCACGCTCAAAGGCAGTGCGTGCCTGTCACCTTCCCATCAGAAGCTGAGTGAGACTGCCCGCATGTTGACTGTAAGTGTTATCCCCGTTCGTCGCAATAATGCGACTTTGTTTGAGACAAAAAGGCAACGCCATATCAGTGTCCTTTTTTCAAATC